TTTGGGGATATAAAAATGGCGGGGGCGGTGGGTGCTGGGGTGAAAGAAGAGTTTTGGGGTGAAATTTGAAGGTTTTGGGGTGACTGGAAATGAAAATTGCGGCGTTTGGGGCCGGGCCCCGCGGTTGCCATGGTGACGCATCGGCGAGGCTGCGCTTCCGGTCACGTGGGTTCCTGTTCCGGTCACGTGACGCCGGCTTTCCGGTTCGGGCGGGAAGCGGAGCCGGAGCGGGCGGTGGGGGCGGCGGCGCCCGGGGGGGGGTTTTGGGAGGTCCTGGGGATCCCTGGGGGGGTCCTGGGGGTTTGGGGGGGCCTGCGGAGGGTCCGGGGGGTTTGAGGGGTCTGGGGGTTCCCCACTTTGAAGGGATCCCGGCTTTGGGGGTCCCCAGGCCCTGACCCCCCCTCCCTTTCCCCTCAGGACCCTCCCCTGAGCCGGATCTGGGGCCGCGCCCCCCTCTCGCCCCCGGGATGGCCTCGCTGGTGAGTTTGGGGGGCTCCCAAAAACCCTCCCCGGGACCCCCCGGGGGATCCCCACGACCCCAGACCCTTCACCCCCAAAATCCCTCCTGGGGACCCCTCCCCAGATGCCCGTGGGAGCCCCAAACCCCCTCGGGGACTCCCCCAATTCCCCCAGGGACCCCCCAAACCCCCCCTTGTCCCGCAGGGCAGCAGCTCCCAGGTGGTCACCGAGTACGTGGTCAGGGTGCCCAAGTGAGTGGGGGGCTTCGGGGGGCTCGAGAAGGGTTTGGGGGCAGCAGGGGGCTCGGGGAGATTTGGGGGTGTCAGATTTGGGGGGTTCTCAGCTGGCTTGGGGGGGCTCGGGTGTTGTTTTGGGCATCTCGGGGGGAGTTTGGGGGAGTTTGGGAGGTTTGGGGTGGTCTGGAGCTCTCGGGGGAAGTTTGGAGGGGTCTCAGATGGTGTGACGGGGCTGGGGGGGTCTCGGGGGTTGTTTTGGGGGTTGTTTTGGGGGTCTCTGGGCTTGGGCTGAGGTCTCAGGGGGGATCTGAGGAGTCTTTTCCCCGCGCCAGGAACACCCCAAAGCGCTACAACATCATGGCCTTCAACAGCGCCGACAGAGTGACCCTGAGCACCTGGGCACAGGTGAGGCGGCTCCTGGCACCGCTCCCGCTGGGCTGGGGAGCGCTGAGCTCGGGGGTGCAGGGCCTGGATCGCTCCCGGTGCTGCTCCTGCTGCTCCTCCTGCTGCTCCCGCTGGGCTGGGGAGCGCTGAGCTCGGGGGTGCAGGGCCTGGATCGCTCCTGGTGCTGCTCCCAGTGCTGCTCCTGCTCCTCCCGCTGCTCCCATGGAGCTGGGGAGCGCTGAGCTCGGGGGTGCAGGGCCTGGATCGCTCCCGGTGCTGCTCCCAGTGCTGCTCCTGCTCCTCCCGCTGCTCCCATGGAGCTGGGGAGCGCTGAGCTCGGGGGTGCAGGGCCTGGATCACTCCCGGTGCTGCTCCTGCTGCTCCCGCTGCTCCTGCTGGGCTGGGGAGCGCTGAGCCCTGGGGGTGCAGGGCCTGGATCGCTCCCGGTGCTGCTCCCAGTGCTGCTTCTCCTGCTGCTCCCACGGGGCTGGGGAGCGCTGAGCTCGGGGGTGCAGGGCCCCATCGTGGGTACAGGGCCCCCATTGCTCCCAGTGCCGCTCCTGTTGGGCTGGGGAGCTCTGAGATTGGGGGTGCAGGGCCCGGATCGCTCCCAGTGCTGCTCCTGTTGGGTTGGGCTGGGGAGTGCTGAGCTCCGGGGTGCAGGGCCCGGATCGCTCCCGGCGCGGCTCCAGCCGGGATCTGGGATGGCCGGGATCGCGGGGATTCGGGATCAGCACCAACCCCGAGCCCTGGGCAGGCGCGGATGGAGCGGGACATGAGCAACAAGCGCATCTACGCCGAGGAGGAGCTGCCCGAGTCCGGCGCCGGCAGCGAGTTCCACCGCAAGCTGCGCGAGGAGGCGCGGAGGAAGAAATACGGGATCGTCCTGCGGGAATTCCGGGCCGAGGACCAGCCCTGGCTGCTGCGCGTCAACGGCAAAACCGGCAGGAAGTGAGAGGGGAAAGGGGCAGGTTCGGGGTGGGAAAGGGATGGAACTGGGAAAAGGAAGGGGGCTTTGGGGGATTTTGGGGTGCTGATCCCGCTCTCGCAGGTTCCGGGGGGTGAAGAAGGGCGGGGTGACAGAAAACGCCTCCTACTACGTGTTCACCCAGTGCCCCGACGGCGCCTTCGAGGCCTTCCCGGTGCGGAACTGGTACAACTTCACCCCCCTGGCCCGGCACCGCACCCTGACGGCCGAGGAGGCCGAGGAGGAGTGGGAGAGGTGACGCCCCAAACCCTGGGCAGGGATCCCAGAACCCACGGGGGAGACCCAAAATCCCCTCCCGAACGCTAAATCCCCTCCCAGGTCCCCCAAGTTCTCTCCCAGCCCCCCCAAATCCCCTTCCAGACCATCCCCAGGCCCCCTCAAAGCTCTTCCCAAGACCCTCCCAAATCCCCTCAGAGCACCCCCCAAATCCCCTCCAAGACTGCTCAAGTGCCCCCCAAATATTCTCCCAGATCCCTT